GGTTGGCACCCAGCCAAGTTATTGGCTCGGCACCTAGCCAATCCACTCCAGTCCAGCCCAGTAAATAGGTTGGCACCCAACCCAAGCTGGTCTCCATGCTAGCCCAAAATCGACAGAGCCATGGACCAACCCATCTGACACCATGCTGACGCCAGCGTGGCATCGGAGGGCATTTGAATTTTTTTTTTTTGCTCCAGACGCATGCAATACACGCACATGTGGCCGCACGTCCCAACAACAAAAAGTGGGGGTGGCCCGTCAGTGCAAGCGCACTGAGATGATCAAATGGGAAGCCACGTGTTCGTTTCTAGGTCGTTGGATTTCCAATGGCTGGTTTTCTGGACCGTTGGATTTTCAACAGTAAAAAAATTTTGAATTTGAAATTGACCTGGACCGTCTAATCCAGAGATCAACGGTCCACATTTGTTTGCCAGAAATAAATAAAAAAAAGGCACAATGATTAGAATTATGATTGTTGGCCACATGTCAAGGTATAGGCTATTGGATTTTAATCTTTTTCAAATCCAACAGTCCAGATTAATTACCTAAATTAAAATTGATCAAAATTAAATAAAAATTGTTTAAAAAATACATAAAAGTTTTAAATTTTTTTTTCCTATAAATACCTAACCCTCATAGTCCACCTTACACTACATTTCAATATTTTCAACAATTTTTACCAAAGCTTTCATATAATTTTTTAGAGAAAACAAAAAATGACTACGTGGAAGTTCATCGAAGATCTTACTTTGTCTGAATGCTGGGTTCACACTATTCATGACCTGATTACGTGTAATGAGATGGATAAACGAGAAATGTGGAGTAAAATTATGAAAGTGTTTTGCGATGTACATGAAAAAGATGCTAGAAGTAGTCAAGGTATTCAAGGTTGTTGGAAAAAACTCAACCTGTATCAAATGGCATTTAGTCGAGGTCTTCAAGGTCGTTGGGTAAGGACATTTAGGTCATTCTGAGCTATTGGAACACCAAAAAAAACATGCCAAATCCATGTATCAAATGAAGCCATCGCTTCCAAAATGATACTTTTGGCTCATTTTCTGTCGCCATAAGCTCCTTGCCATGCACTTGGATAGTTTTTCCAAGTCCAATGCATGCAGTCGATGCTTTCAATCATGTCAGGGAAGCCTCGCATCTCACCCTTCCTTAGAAGCTTTAGCATGTCCCTTGGCGTGGGTTTTCGGAGGTACTCATTGGTATAAAGCATTTCAATTGCAAAGCAAAACCACATTAGGGACTCTAGAACAGTTGTTTTTTCCATTCTCACGATCTCATCCACTCGATTTGTAGATGCTCCATATGCAAGCATTCGCAAGGCAGCCGTAATTTTTTGTTCAGGAAAAAGACCTAGAGCATGAAAAACATCATCTTTTTGCACAAAGTATGGATCATGGTTGCAAATGACACTCATGATTTTGTCGAACAAACTTCGACGATGTCTAAAAACATGATTAGGAAATACGCTGTTGGGAATAAAATAATCTTCTAAGAGATCTTTACCTCGTCTTTCCCTTTTTCTATTGAAGTTCGCGGCATGTCTAGGTTTGGCTTTCTGACCCACAGCTTCCATGACATGGCGGGAATGTGAGGCCCTTTGCCTTCTATGGTCATCATCCTTATCCTCCTCCATTGCGAATGCCTCATCTCCACCTCAACCTTCCTCGAGATTGACCAATTCTTCCTGTTGTTCTAATAATCTTTTCTGTTGCTCCTCAAACTGTTTATACACTCTCCTTGAAGAAGACATTGTAAAAAGAACTCAAGATTTGAAAACGATAAAGAAGGATTTTGAGCTAAAAAAAAAGATTTGAGTTTGGTGTGAGGATGGATGTAGGGATGTAAGGTAAAAAGAAAGGATGAGATTCTGGACAATGCCATGTGGCACTACATGATTGGTTGAAAATCTTATCGCAATATTGGCTAAATTATTGTAAACAGATAGTGACACGAGGCGCGTCGGGATTGGTTGAAAATCTTAGCAGAAATCTATTCACAAAATAGTACGTTCGGATAATGACACGTGGTGTGATGAGATTGGTTAAAAATCATATCCAAAATTAAAACTACTTTTATTTATTATTTTAAAAAAAATTAATAATATTTTAAAGGAATCTTTTGATATAAGCGATTCAGTTTTGAATTTTCTAAATCAAACATCCATGTCTTTTAGTGATTTGATTAAACTTTTTTTTTTTATCATAATTTTGGTGCTATATGCACATTATATTGTATCAAATTCCCTATAATCTAGCCTTTGATTACACTCTTCTCCGTTAAAGATAATTGTTAAAAAAAAAAAAATTGGTTAGATTCAATTTATTTTCACAATAATGCTACAATTTAGCAATAATTATCTACGATTTAAGATTTTTTTCTTTCCAAAATAGTTTCAAATATTTTTAAATCCCTCAAAATCAAACATACCGAAATAAGTTTTTCTTTTAGTACGTGAAAAGAAAATAGGATTGAGAATGCTATAAACGTACCAATACACAATGTGTACAAAATAAAATGTACCAAAATAAAAATAATGTACCAATATTAACAATATGTATCAAATCAAATGTACAAAAATTGCAAAAAAAAAAAACGTACCAATTAATGATTTTTGTAAATTCAAACGTACCCACATATAATATATACGTAATGTATTGTACCTAATAATAAGTTGTCAACAACTATACCTGAAAAAAACAGCAAAAAAAATATAATTTCACAAAAAAATTAAAAAAATTATACAGAGTTTTTATGTTGATCACCAACTATTTGAAAAAGAAAAAACCATTTGGAAAAAAAAATTATATTAAATGTTTGCATAACAAAAAAAAGCCTATGATAAAAAAACATATTTGTAAGAAGAGAAAATATAGTTTAATTACTAATATCTCTACTAAATAAGGAAAAGTGCATCATGCAGATAAAATGATAAATTCAAAAATTATTTTAATTTAAAAAAATAGAGGTGACTGTTGGTTAAATCACTTTAATTAAATTTTAAAAAAGCATAGATGTTTAATTTAAATGATATAGAAAAACTGTAGGGAATTCTAATTTCCCTATTTTAATTGGGCTGGGTGCGAGCACATTTTGTAGGGGTGGAGATCGTTTGTGCCAGCGCATTTTTTTAGGGGGTGGAGATGCATTTTGTCACATCCCGGCTGGAGCCCTCACCACATCCAGGCTCGACTCTACCGTAGCACGATATTGTTCGTTTTGGGCCTCTACCACACCCTCACGGTTTTGTTTCTAGGAACTCACACGAGAACTTCCCAGTGCACCACCCATCTTGGGATTGCTCTTGCGTGAACTCGCTTAACTTCGGAGTTCCGATGGAACCCGAAGCCAGCGAGTTCCCAAAAGGTCTCGTGCTAAGTAGAGATGAGAATATACATATAAGGTTTACATGATCCACTCCCCTGGGTGATGTGGGATGTTACAATCCACTCCCCTTAGGGGCCCGACATCCTCGTCGGCACACATCTGGCCAGGGATTGGCTCTGATACCAAATTGTCACATCCCAGCCCGAGCCCCCACTACATCGGGGGCTCAACTCTATCGTAGCACGATATTGTCCGTTTTGGGCCCCTACCACACCCTCGTGGTTTTGTTTATGGGAACTCACACGAGAACTTCCCAGTAGGTCACTCATTTTGGGATTGCTCTTAAGTGAATTCGCTTAACTTTGGAGTTCCGATGGAACCTGAAGCCAGTGAGCTTCTAAAAGGGCTCGTGCTAGGTAGAGATGAGAATATACATATAAGGCTTACAAGATACACTTCCCTGGGTGATGTGGGATGTTACACATATGGCCTATTACTGTTCATTGGGGTCTATCATTGTTGACTGAGTGGATTAAATAGGCTGGGTGTTGATACATTTTTTTAGGGGTGAAGTTGCTTTTAATGATTCTGAGTCTCTACATTTAGTCTTTCATGCATTTACTCGCATTTCTCTGAATTTCCACCATAATTCAACGATTCATAATATGACACATCACCTTCAATTAAGTTGATTTATAATTCCAAAATGTTTTAGTTTTTAGAAAAAGAAAATAAGTTTCTTTACGTCTGTTAACTCTCTTTCCTTTAGGGTTAATCTTTTAGCCGCATCTCTTCTTTTCTTTCATGGTCATTCATTTGTCTCCAATCTCATTAGAAACTGTATCTCACAAAAGAGCACTAAAAAAAACTAAATTAAGAACAAGGTTTGCATAGGCAAGGGGAAAACGACACTTCAGAGAATATGTAATAACAAACTTCCTCCCTCTTTTTAATATTTATCAACCTCGTGCATATAATGCGAAGCAATTGTCATTTTCACTAACTCTATTAGAATTTCTATTCAAAATAAAGAGTCTAAAGGGCAAAAAAAAAAAAAAAATAGATAGAATTCTAACGGAGTTTGCCAAAAGAACTATTGCTCCGCATTATTACAAATTCAGGAACCAATATTCACGAATTTTAGTTTAGAGACCAAAGCTCCAATTGAGTTAAAGTTAAAGAACTATTGTTCCAATTATCCCAATAAACCTTCAAGTGACTAGCATATCACGAAATATAACACACTCTAAATGAAAATTTAATTACGAAACAATACAATACATAAGTTCGAATCATAAACATGGAATTTTGGAATCTCTAAATGTGTTCCAATTTGCATTCAACTTCTTCCAAGATATTCGGATTCGGAAACTTTTGAATCAAATTGAAATTTTTACTCATGGAATCGAAAATCTGAATCCAACTTCTACCCCTAGGTCAGCCATTGGGCCGACCATATTTACACACTTCTTTTTATCTTTTACACACTCATTTCAATTTTTAGCCGTCAGATCGAATGAATTGAAGAAAATCAAAGTACAGAAATTAACAAAAAGTGTGCGATAAGTTAAAGAAAATTTGTGGGCTTAAAATGGGCCGGATGGTAGTTTAAAGGGAAAATATGACCCGACCCATAAACAGTTGCAGTCGTTTTCACTCGGACTAAAAACCCTAGCACTTGGCTTTTCCTACATCGTCTCTTGCTCTCTTATTCGCATCACTCCACTTGTGCTGCAGCTGCTCTCTCTCTCTCTCTCTTTCTCTCTCGCGGAAGAACGCTCCGCCTCACAGGTCTCTCTCTGTTTGTTTCTCGAGAAAATTGAAATGAAAATTCTTCTCTTCCAATCTACCAATTTCTTTTCCTACGGTAATCAAATTGCTGATAACAAAGGTGTTTTTTTTTGGCCTTTGCATGTTTCAGATCTTAAGTCTGAGCGAAACGTTTTTCCGGAACAGCCATGGCTTTGGTGAGTTTAGTTCGTTTCTTCTTATTTTTCGATTCGAATTGTTCTGATTGTACTGTAGTCCAATTCTTATCGCGGTTGATTTATGTTTGGTTTGCATCTCAAAAAAGTTCTTAATTTTATGAATAATATGATCGTATGTGTTCGGTTTTACCAGTGGCCGATTTACTTATGGTTGATGATACAATTCAAATTTGGATGTTCTTATATTGATCTGTGTTCGAAATCGGATTCATTTTGCAATATGGGTTTTGTTGATCTGATATTATTGATAAACACTAGAAAACTCGTCAGAACTTAAGCAATTTTAGGGGTTTGTTCTGCTTTAGTTCACTTCATATTCGTACCTGTTAAGGTTTTTTATATGATTTGTGGGAACCACCCGATGTGTTTTGGTTTCAATTATTATGTTATGGGCTTCAATTTTGGGATCTCCGTTTGCTAATAGGTTTGTATTGTTTACTTTTCAGGTCTTGCATGCAGGGAAGACAAACAAAAATGGTTACAAGGCGCTCATTGTTGCCGAGTACAGTGGTGTGAAAGTTGAACTTGCACCGAACTTTGAGATGGGTGTTACAAACAAGACTCCTGAGTATTTGAAGTTAAACCCTATCGGAAAGGTAGAATTTCGTTTTCTTTACATATACATGCTTGATGAAATTTTAGTTTGATTTTATGTATTAAAGAATCTGTCATATTCCAGGTTCCGCTGTTGGTAACACCTGATGGTCCCATCTTTGAGAGTAACGCTATTGCACGCTATGGTAAGACTATGTTTTTCATCAAATTACTTTTATCAATTTCTACTGGTGTATTAGAAATTAACTATGTTTTTGTGTTGCTTCAGTCGCACGCTTGAAGGCTGACAATCCTCTGTGTGGTTCTTCTCTGATTGACTATGTAGGAAACAATATTCCTTCCTGAGTTGTTTTTCCTTGAGTAAATCTAAAGGCTCAAGTGCATTTTTCCTTTTTATGTTTTATCTTTTGTCTCAATCCTTGTGAAATAAGATGTTTGTTATGCTTACATTTGTTTGTTATTCTTTAGGCCCATATCGAGCAATGGATTGATTTTGGATCCTTGGAGATTGATGCTAACATACTTAATTGGTGGTTATCGAGAGTGGGACGTCGCATGTACCTTCCTCCAGTGAGTTGCATAATCATAATTCTTTATGTCTCTTTATATTCTTCCCAATTTAGATAGCATCTTTGTCCGATTTGGGTGCTTAAGGTGTGCTTATTTTGTTTATTCTTTTGTCATGATTGAAATCGATCATTATTTATGTAGACAAGATCAGATGTACATTTTGTTGAGTTAGTAGTGTCACATTGTGAAGATTGATGGAATACGATTATAATATTAGTTGTACTCTGTAAGGCTAGTTACAACGAATCCTGTTAGGTGTTATGGTTAGATATACAATCATGTCAATTACCTTGGCTGAAATGGTCAACAAAAACTTTGTGGTGACTGGTGACACTTGACCAAATTGAAATATATGATTCTTTTTCCCTTATTTACAGTGCACAATCTGTATTGTTTATAAACCACATCCCCCCCCCCCCCTTCTCTTTCTCCCTCCTCCTCCCCCTCTTCTGTTCCTTCCAGCTTCTTTGATGCTTCATGGAGTATTTCTAACTTTTTTGTATATTCTATTTAGGATGAGGAAGCTACAATTTCTGCATTGAAGAGAGCACTAGGTGCCTTGAACACCCATCTTGCTTCCAACACATACCTAGTTGGGCATTCTGTAACCCTTGCTGACATTGTTGTTGGTTGCAATTTGTACTTGGGGTTCACCCAAATTTTGACTAAGAGCTTCACCTCAGAGTTTCCCCACGTTGAGAGATACTTCTGGACTCTGGTCAATCAACCAAACTTCAAAAAGGTAATGGGTGATGTCAAGCAGGCTGTTTCAGTTCCACCAGTTGTATCTGCAAAGAAGCCTGCCCAACCTGCTAAAGGCAAGGCCAAGGAGGAGCCCAAGAAAGAAGCCAAAAAGGAGCCGGAAAAACCCAAGGCAGAAGCTGCCGAGGAAGTGGAAGAGGCTCCAAAGCCTAAACCCAAGAATCCTCTTGATCTGCTTCCCCCAAGTAAGATGGTATTGGACGACTGGAAGAGACTTTACTCTAACACAAAGACCAACTTCCGTGAGGTTGCTATTAAAGGTAATCATCTTAACGCTTGGTCTTTCTGGAATGTTGGCAGTCAAAAGCATCATTTGGGTTAAGTTGATGTTTGCGTCCTTGTTTATTGCAGGATTCTGGGACATGTACGATCCCGAAGGATACTCTCTTTGGTTCTGTGAATACAAGTACAATGATGAGAATACAGTTTCCTTTGTGACACTGAACAAGGTCGGTGGATTCCTTCAGAGGATGGATTTGGCCCGCAAGTATGCTTTTGGAAAGATGCTTGTGATTGGCTCAGAGGCACCCTTCAAGGTGAAGGGGCTGTGGCTCTTCCGTGGGCAAGAAATTCCCAAATTTGTGATGGATGAGTGCTACGACATGGAGCTCTACAACTGGACAAAGGTTGACATTTCGGATGAAAACCAAAAGGAGCGTGTCAACCAAATGATCGAAGACCAGGAGCCGTTCGAGGGGGAGGCTCTTTTGGATGCCAAATGCTTCAAGTGAAAGTATCTAAATCTAATCCCTTCACTTGAAATGGTGTTTTTTGTCTGTCTATCTTTTTTGTTAGGGTTTGTTTCTTTGGTGTCTGAGTGAGACCAAGTATAAGTTACAAGTCATGTTTCTGCACTTCAATTTTGGAGAATGGTTTAGACATCTAAAATTATATATGATACAGTCTTCGAAGGTTTATTATCTATGGTTTGAATCAGTTAGGTTAGCACAATGTTAGTGATACTACCAGCCTAATAATGGGGTGTATTTGCCTTTGACAACTTCTTGAATGACCTGTTAATATGCCATGAAAGACACGAAAGTAACATGTTCTGCGTCAATTTGTTAACGAGTCGAGTTGTTATTTGATCGTCCGTTAAAACTCGATAAGATTCGATAAGATATCGTTGTCAGATTTAGATATTAGGCATGATAAATTTTTACATGACCAGTTATCACGACATGAAAAGGCACGGTCCATTAACGAATTGGATTTTTATTAGGTCACAACACGAACATGACTTGTTTGCAAGATCTAGGGCGTATGGCATCTCTTGTAATCAAAGATACCATGTAGGACATCTCTAATATCCGACCTTCCTATGGTGCGGGATCTTGATTTGAACCCTCGTTGGTCTTCTCGAAGAAAAGGAAAAAGTTTGGGATCTTGGAATCTTGTCATTGAATCGGTTCTGCGCCACAAACTATTTGGATTCAAAACGCATTGCTGATTTGAAAAAAATGTACGACATTTTAGAGTGTTGAGTAATCTTTAATTTTTGATTAAAAACAAATCATTAATCATCTATTTATAGTCTTTAAAATTGAACGATGGTTAGATGAGATCTAACTCTAAGAGTAAGGGCTCTTGATGGTGGAGTATTCAATACTCATGAACATCGTAGCCTCAATATTGTTGATTATCTAAATAAACTATTGTGTCATTTTGTATTACTACGTCATTTGGGTGATACTCATGCTCGAAGTTTCTAACATGTCTCTTTTTATGAAATATATACAACCAGAATTGAAACTCCATGTCTTACCCTGTAAAAAAAAATTGAGGAGAATGCAACGTTTTTCCTTTCTCGGCTTTTCTTGTCACACTTCAACCATCTGCTTTCTAGATCACTTGTAGAACTTCAACTATGCAAATAAATTAACCAAGTTAGAAATCGTTTAACCGTTAATTAAACATAGTTTGTCAACTCTATTCTATCAAATAATTATTGGATGAATAAACAATAAGAATTTAATTATTTTTTTTACAAAGACAATCTTTAGAGAATGACTTAAAAAATAGGCTTTTCTAATAACTCCCTCCTTCGGAATAAAAAGGAATCTAACATGGTGCAATTAGTAATATGGAAAATACGTGGGTCATTACTGAAAGAAATAACATTTTTGTTGTATTCAAATTTAAAAAAAAAAAAAAAAAGATAAAAAACACGAAAAGCGTTGTTGCGTGTAAGGGGAGCGATCTCTCCAAAAAAAACTTTGAGAGAGCGGAAGGTTTCAGAGAAGACAGTTTGGGAGAGATGAGTGAAATTTCTGGTTGCAGATCGCCGACTTTGCTTTTATTATTAGCTTCAATTTCTCTCCAATTCTTTCCAGGTTGGGCATCACAAACTCCTCATCAATTTCTCTCCAATTATTCTGCTTTAATTTCATGTTGATTTATATATTATATGCTTTCATGTTGATTTATATACATATATTTATATTTATATATACTTGGTAATTGAATTCTCTCTGTGTTAGTTGCTTTCTGGGTCTGTTTCAAATCACTTTTTTGGTTTCTGAGAAAAAGAGAGTTCTAAATTTGTTGTTATCTGTTGTTCATTAGCTAAAACCTACCTTACCCAAACCCAAGTTAGTCATTATTTGCTTAATCTTCCCTTATAAGGAAATGTTTATGTTTACATTTAAAATTAGAGTCTAAGAAAAAAAAAATCCAAACTTTCCTTTTCCTTTTGGAACATTGTCTCGATATGTTTACTTTCGTATGGCCGACTTTGAAGTGGATTGTGTATCTGTGTTATCTGATTTGGTGGAATCCAAGTATCGTAGCTGGGTTTTGAATGCAATCTTAGTGGAAATCTATGGTTGAGTGTGGTGTGGTTTAGAAACCTTTGGAAAATGGACAAAAGAGAAAAACCACATATTTTGCAACATCCCCAAATTTGAGTACTTGCTTTGGTATTGAAGCATCCCTTAAGCATTGTATGATCTAATTGAAGTGCTATTGCATTTAAGTCTTGAAAGAAGACCTTTCGATAGACTAGACCCTTGCTTTGCGAAGTAACAAGCCTTTATGTGACATGAGGGGATTTGATGGACAGATGAAGGAATGAGATGTGATGCTGCAATACGCGTATGATTAATTGTTTCTCATGTTACCACGATAAGATCTTTTAAATTTTGGTCCTTTTCTTTCAGGCCTTTCTGACGATTCATCTAGTTCCAAAGATGGTAAAAAATCTGAGAGTCATTCCACTTCCAGCCACACCGGTTCAACGTTGGTCATCATATTCCTTGGACTTGTAGTAGTTGCGTTGTTCTCCTTTTTCCTTTTCAAGCTATGGCAAAAGAAGAAACGAGAAGAACAGTATGCCCGGCTTTTGAAGTTGTTTGAAGAGGATGATGAGCTTGAGCTCGAACTCGGTCTTCGGGATTGAAATACTTTGTTTATATTCAAGGTGTGCCTCCTACCCTATTGCTTTCTTCTTTTTAGTGTGCCAACTGTTAATTCTTTCTTTCAATTGATTTACGGGGATGACTATATTATAATTGTCATTAACAATGCGACATTGCGTGACCAGTTTTCTTTTCTGAATGCTATGTAGTGTTGATACCTTTACAGTGAAGCTGTATGGTGCAAAGCTTGGTGACATTGAATGAACCAGTAGAAATGCCCTTTTAGTTTTTATACCCTGTAATTAGTCGGGTGTCAGAATACTAAGAAACTATGTAGAGCATCTTAATTGATAGACACAAATTCACATTTTTACTTACAATTTCCGGCCCAGATGGGTATTTTTTTACATCCCCTTAAAATTCACCCATTGGAGGGCTTTATGGCCAACAAGAACTGTAAAATTCGCATGCCTACATTTTTCATCTTCCATTTGAGATGCTCTTTGAGATATCAAAATTGACAATAACCTTTATATGGAAAGCTAACGGTATAGTGGGAATTCTAAAAATGTGTTAAGGGGAGAGTAAGAGTTATTAATAGTGTATTGTAAAAGGGAGAGACCACTTTCTGCACAGAAGCCTATATGGATCAATATAAAGTGAGATCTTATCAGTTTCTAATCTTCCTTGTTTTTATTTAGAAATCTAGACTGATGGATTTTTTGGTATCCTTTTCCTTTTTCACTTGTGGTTTGATCATACTTTAATTTATGTAGATGATCTACCAAAAATTTTGCAAGTTTATATCAAATCCTTGTGATATCCATCGCTTACCGTATCCTGGTTAAGTTTGGAAAGTTAGTCAGGTTATGGTATTTCTTCATATGGACACCTGTATCATTATGATTGTTGGTTGAAGAATCACTTCCTAATGAGGGTTTTTTCTTCTTTGTTTTTGCAGAGTTGCGTGGATTTTGTATTTGAAAAACTCACTCTCCTAACCAGGATGGAAGTTGGGTGTCTGGGGTTGAGGTTAGATAATTTCTGTCAATTGTGACATTTGTGATCATATCTTCAAATGTAATCTTATGCTTTTACTTTTCGTTTTGTTTCTTGAGTATGATATCATACCATATGTGAGGGATACTATTTCATATGGAGCGCTGAGGTTCACAAATCAGTGTTTGTATAAATGACCTTGATTTCGAATTCACATGCTTGATTGACATCAAAATCTTAGTAAGTGGTCTGAATCTTGATATAATTTCAGGCAACTGTAAGTCTTGTAAGCCCTTAGCACCATCTTCTTTCAATTGGTTGGCGTGCATATAAATGCCCGCTTGATAAAAATATTGTTCGATCACTCTGCCTACGTGGAATGATATGTCCTAACGGATATTTTGTGCGTAGAAAACAAGAAAGTTATTTCAGTTGTTTTGAGAATAAATGAAGTTAGTTCACTTGTATTTGGTAGATGGTAGGTGGTAGATGGCTTCTGGTATGGGAACTATTTTTTTGTACAGTTGTTGGGGACACCTGCAAGGCATGTCAATAATAGTAGTTGAGTGTTTCATGCTAGGCCTCACCTTCAAGTGCCTTTGTTTGTTTACGCTAAGTTTTTGATGTAAAGCAGGAATGATATTACGACTTGTCTTATGCTCCTAGGTTCAAGATGGTTAAGTTTTGAAGAGTTCGGATTGGACGTTATCTGAGTATGACGGTAGTAGAATTTACGGGGTCAGGATGTCTTTCTCAATGCATAAACTATTGAGAATGCTATTCCTAGTTATCCGGACCTAGATAGTAGAATCATCTCTAATGCTTAAAAGCTACTTGTTTTCTTTTTTTTTTGTCATTGTTTGATTTTCATGCTGAGCTGCATTTAGAAAGGTTTGATATTACAAGATTTCGGGCAAATCTTTACCAGCACAGTGGTACGCTTTCCGTGCGCTCCTTTCATGAGTTCCATGATGATCCTGTTAACAAGGAGATCCCTTTTTATTTCTTTCGAACTATTACTAGCGCAGTGGTTCATGTTTTAGCAATGATCTGTGGATTGTATCTGTTTCTTACCCGAATTTTGGGGTTACTTATGCTGCCTTTACTCTTGGAATCATAATTTAGTTGTGTTTCGTTCTTGAACTTTTTGAACGGATTGCAGAATTTTGGTATTTTCGTTTGGGAGTGAGCTGTGAATGTCGATGTAGCACCTTCAAACCCGTAATTTATGTTTTCAACATTCACAGCTCACTCCCCTTTCATTTGAGTCTCTCTCCCTTTCTATTTCTTATGATCTAAGGTATCACTAAATTTGTATCGCCGATTGCCTTGCCTTTCAAGTAAAGATCGAAGAAGGTGCCGGTGCGAGCTACCGGACTTTAAAATTTTAAACTTATTTCTGCTCGGCTGTTAATTCAAAACCTTGTTTCTGTGACTGAAATATTGGATAATTCCGAATTTTAATTTTCCATGCACTTACTAATATATAATTAAATACTTAGAAAAACCTAAGGATTAGACTGATTAGGGGAAATACTTGATTCAATTCTCATTCTCTCTCCCCAATTCATTTAAATATGTATGAATTTCATTCTATTCCGTAACATCAACGAAACCTTTTTAATTACAAGCGGTATCACTATTTAAGCTACATTGAGGGGAGGCCTTTTTTTTTTTTTTTTTTGAGTACAACGATATATTTTACACTAAGGATTCAAATTTGCCATCCACGATATTCGAACCTAAGACCTCTCACTTACAAGTAAAGAAAAATAACATCAGACTGTAGTACTGAATAGCAAGTAAAAAGGCCGGGTTCAAACCCAAGATATGGTAGGTTGAAGAGGAAGGTCATATCTATCGGAAAAATATTCTCTTCGGATCCGAACCATCCAGATCGTAGTGATCAAATAATCCCAGCCATTTATGTAAATTGTGCGGCCGAAATCACTTTCATCTTTAACATTCTTACTCCTTTTCTTTCTCCTCAACATCCATGCCATCTTCTTCGTGGCGATCGACGAAGCAAAACCACAGAGAAAGAACGAAAGAAGAAAATGCGAGGGTTGAAGGTCGGGTAAACATGCAGTGGCAATTGGGGTGCGATGGGGAGGGGGATGTGAGTGATGGTAGGGAGGTCCATAAGGATCCAGATGGTTCTAATCTGAAGAGGATATGTCCCCGTATCTACCAAGGTAATCCACCGCTTGCAACATAGAAAAAGTGAGTAAAAAGATGCCAAACAAAATGGCAAAAATTAGAAACTCATCTGAACTTATTTTTATTGTAAACAATAGCACAATACACGCATACAAGATAAATATAAACTTAGTCAATGTAGCATTTTGCCTGGTACAAGATGCTGGAATATGATCACAGGAAAATCAAACGGCGGCCTACAAGCTTGAGGCTATCAAACAAAGAATATGGGCTCGTTCAGAAGTGCTTTTAAAATGAGAGGTGAAAATATTTTTAAAACCAATCTTTACTAAAAATCCAAGTGGATCATAGAAAAGCGCTGCTTCCTTAAAGAAGCATATAGCTGATGTTTTTTTCTTAAAAAAAAAACACTTAAAAGTGCTTTTAGAACCCAAAATCAATTTCACCAAAAGCATTTTCATTCATTTTAAAAGCACTTGCAAACGAGTTCTAAATCACTGTGGACGTAGAAGGCATGTCGTACGGAACTGCCGAACCTGTTCACCCCGTCTGAGAGGCCGGACGAAGGGCCCGAAATTTGTTCATCAGTTTGTCAACAATGCTTCCCAATGTGTTGGAAATCAAAATTATCAAGATGCCGAAAGGTCTTCGACAAGGCAGATGTGAATGTTTTCAGAGATTAAACCACTAACGATCAGCATAGTTTTAGGATTTATTACTTCCCTGTCTTGGCTCGTTTCATCCCTGCACTGTTAAAGGGCGACATGCTCGGGCTTAGACTTGGGCTCATGCTAGGGCTCTCTTCCCTCAGTGTACCGTTCAGCATAGCCAATTCTCTAAGTTGTTGCTTCTTATAGTGATCGAAGGACTCGTCCTGCAAGAGACGGGTTAAAACCTGTCCAAGAAAATGAATTAAGAGTCAAAACTACGCGACCAATACTATTCATACCACAGGCTTCAGAAGGTTCTCGAGTATTGCCACTGCATGATCCAAGCGAGCATTGATTATATCCTCCGGAAATTCAGCCTCCACCAACACGTGCAACGGCTCATTAAGATGTTCATATCCAGGCTCGTCTTTTAATTTCTCTTCCTGAAGAAAAACAATGTACAAGGCACATAAGGAGCCAAATGATGTCAACGAAAACTAGAATTTGACAAGGATACATGAGTATTTTTCAGACAAATAACTCTTCGATGAAGTTTGCAAATCGATATTCCGCCTGCCATTTTTAGCACACCATGCCATTCAGAAAATGACCAACTTAATTGTCATTCAAAAGTTGAGACCATAAAAATGTAAGGATACATTATCTGTTGAAGCACACCTGACCCCAACCAAAGATTAAAGAAAATGAACGAAAGACTTAACAATAATCAGGCACTACTACACAAGTCCAAACTACGATATCAGACTGAAGCAGTTAGTTCCTAGCTACCTCCATCTCCGTCATTTTGGATCCATCAAGCTGTTTGTAGTGAGTTGTAATACAACTACACAAATCCAAGCTAGAAACATATTTATATTTACACGTCAAGAGAGAACTGTATACCATGAACTCTCACTAGCATCAATTTCAAGCTTCATGTTAAAGTTTTTGGAAACCTCACGGATGGCCTGAAGCTTGTGTGAGTCCTCTTATTAGAGATCCCTTCTATTCTAACACTGAGCGCTATTTCAAACAGTTTCAATTTTTTTTACTCCTGTTTGTTACTCCTACGCTACTGGCCTACAACGAAGTTTGTCGTTTTGTTATGATAATGTTTTTCTCGTACATTATATATATATATATATATATATATATATGTACACACACACATCTATATTATTGTATATTTATTACGCCGCCATGTTTCAATTAAACCTTCATCCTCGCATTTGTGGCATCCTTATTTTAGAAGTTTGCAAAGAGGTAGTGGACAAGAACATATGATCTATGAAATTAATTATGTTGAGTATTTTGTAGAATGCATGAATTAATACCTACCATAAACGAATATGAATGAGCAAATTTAGAAGTAAATTTTCATGCAACCATGCCAGTGCCAACTAACTACCCAAAAAAGATGAGCAATACCTTTCCAGAATCCTTCACTGAGCCCCGGCCTCGGATGTACACCCTACACTCTGTCATGGCTTCAACTCTTTTTAAGGAGTTCCCACGTGGTCCCAAAATTCGGCCAACAAAATTGTACTGCCAAGTATGGTGTGAAAAATTGTTAATTAAGACAAAAAGGTTGAAAATAAACTCTGCACAAATCATAACCCCTTCCTTACTTACATGTGGATATTTGTCCACGGGAAGATCAAGTCTAATAACTCTCTTTACAATAGGGGTGGTTGGAATTCCTTGCCCCCCAAGCCATCCCATAGAAGGAGATTGGAATGGGGCCATTCTCTGGATATGTCCATTGTCCTACAGGAGACAAATTATGATGAATGAAGATTCACACATACAAACAACATAAGACATGAGCAAAACCTAAACTCTCTTCCCACTATGTCATACACCATAAAAGAGTTTTATTCAGCTATGAGTAGATGATTGTACTGCGAATGGTAGAGTGGTTTCAACAATAACATATTGGAAGTTGGCTTGGATGGCCACCAAAACATTACAAACTGGACTACAGCTCTGGCATACAGTGTCTCACAGGCTTGTCAAACACGCATTAAAGAAAACAAAACTCTTGTCTTACATTTCAAGAAATGAAGGCTATACTGTCACACATGCAAGCAAATATGAAGACTATGTCCTTGTATGCTTCTAATACTATTGAAAAAAATTAAGAAAATTAGACAATGATAATTGAATTCAAGCAACAACTATGGTCAAAAATTCAAACAAAATACAAAATAAGCATCACCCACTTCTATTAGTAGAATTACCTCCATGTGTATTCCTGGCCATCCCTCCAGATCCATTGGTCTACCATTCGCATTTTGACTTAATGACCTAAATGGACTGTCATGCGTAAATCTTTCACGATCTGCAGGAGTTTGATTGAAGCCTGATATTTGTCTGATCTCTGTCATGGCGTCAAAGAACAAAGTATGCTTCAGCAAATAACCAAAAAAGACCAGAAAAATGAAACTGTAGCTACACATGGTTAAGCATTTTACAAGAGCATGCAGTTTCCAACCAACATGCTTAAACATTGATTGTTATAGGAGACACTGCACAAAAATTTATAATAGATGATTGTATAGTGAAGAAATTACAGTTACCACCGCCTAACAGCCCTTTTCAAGGACTCAATACTTTCTCTATATAGAAACTATAACTAATGTTAAATGTGAGGATCTGATAATTTACAGCTCAAAAATCATCCAAAAAAAAAGATCTTTGTTCTAGTGTTCTTTTTATTCATTTCTAAATACACCATTTGGTATCATTACTTCCGACACGCAGGGGAAGCATAGACAGTGCAAACATATTTTGTGTTTTGAAATATGGATTGGAACAAACATATCCAAGAACAGCTGTCAAACACACACATGCCAAGTAGTTAAATCCAAACTGATATCACAGTACATGACTGTCTGCACATACATGTAAACCTGTACAGAAAAGTATCTTGGTTATGGATTAATCAGATTTTTAGAAAGAAAAAAGGGCGGCCAAAACTTATTGTCAACCCTAAAAAAATGTTCTTAGTTCACAAGAGAAAACAAAATTTAATGAGACATAAAATTTAGAAGTGACCTACATAGGGGAAAAGCATTAGATAGAAATTTCATCTAACCATGATTTAGAAGTCTGCTACATTGGGGCAATATTTGCAGGAATGGTCCCAACTTTTGCTTCTCTGCCAGTAGTTCAGCCAAATATCTGCCATAACACCAGCCAAATCATGTGTCAATTCCTAGCATACTTCGAAAAGCAGTAGTATGTAGTGTTTATTACCAGTTAATATTTGGAAGTTGAAAATTGTATTAATGTAATTTTGAGAAAGAATATTCATGTTATATCATATATGCAGACATCACAACGTTGCTTTGATTCTTTGAATGATTGTTTTCACGAACTTAAATTGAATTATTATCAGAAAAAGATCATGATTTCCAAGGGAATAAGCAACATGCTCAAACATCTTCAAATGTATACATGAAGTGAGATGTGCATCAATGATTGAGTACAAGTACAAACATCGTTACAAAATGAACAAGATGTCGACAGGAAGCCAAAATAGTAAAGAACATTAACATGACCAAAAGGATAAAAGCAGCCCTCCAATCAGTAAAGAACAGCAAAATAAAAAGAGTTTCTCTGAACTTTGAAGAGTCTAAAGTCCACAAAGACGACTGTGCTTGAAATTTGTCCCCAAACTTACCTCCCTCCTGTCAAAAATCTTTCTATATCTTTCTTAGCACCACAATCACACCACATCTCCATAGAACTTCTTATGTTAACCTTTAAACTTCCTCATTAAAAAATAAAAATTGAAAAACAACTTTCTGGTAAAACCTGACTTTCCCTCAGGATCTCCACCACAACCAAACGCAACCGGGTAATGACAAAAAATGTTCAATACTTTCAACCATGCCACAAGTGTTTCACCTTACAGTTAGCAATGATCCATATGTTTCACTCAAACATTATACACCAGTCAAAAGAGAGGGGTATTAGGTGTCTAGCTTTCAACCATGTCACAGGTGTTTCATCTTACCATTAAAAATGGACATGTGGGGTCTGGGGACTATCTGACACAACAACAGCAATATGCATAACAACAGCAGTGATTTGGTTACGCTTAAAAGCTCAGAGACAAAGCAGGTGAGCACGAAAGTAGGTTCCAAACTACATCTCACAACTTTCACCTGCCATGCTAACAACACTTTACCACTGAAGACCTTGCTCGCATCAAAAGAATGAGTGGGTTTGTCTTTTTCCTTTTATGATTTGATTCAATATTTAGAAACATATAGTACTATGTATGATCTGAAAGCAGCCGTGAAGTGAAATAAGAACTAGTAGGGCTAAAGGCCAACGTGCAATCACTCAAATATATATTCACCCTTTGAAGCTTATCCATGTTAACAAGTTCCTGAGGATTACTGTGTTCGATATTCAATGGGGTTCGTTGGCTATATTTTGTATGAAATGCATGCAGAAACAACCTCCCAAATGTATGTACGAAAGAACCAATCAATTTTTTTCTTCATTGGTAAAACAAATTGACTATCTATGGTAAAACAAATTGACTATCTGTGGCATTTAAACATATTTCTACTTCAATTAGAGCCCGAAATGCCTTCGTAAAACATATCTATATTAAAAACATACACATTTTCTCTTGAACAGTAAAAGAAACCGGCAATCTAGATATAATTTATGGCATTTCACATTTCAGGAAGAAAAAAGTTGTCTAATTACAAGGTAAGCTAAAATGTCTGAAAGAACAATTTCCCAAATATGAAATCATTTACTACCTCCCTTTAAATGTTTTCCATCGGAAACTGAAAATCAAACGGGGTTTATGTAATTAACTCCCAAAAACTCATGGAGCATACTCAAGGACTCGATAATTCATAGTGCCATACTTTCTTAACCCTACTAAAGATAATAGACGAAATATAAGGACTGAAACCCAAAAGACATCAGAAAAGCATGGGACAGCCACATATACGGGATATAACACATAAGCCCTTGAAAACTAAGTATATTCTATGAAAGCAAAACCAAATAGAATAGCCATCAATGTACTAATGATAAAACCACCACCCACACCGACAGAAAACGTCAAGTACGGAACCACCAGCTACACATGTCACCGACAAACTATCGACAAGGAATCGAAATGAGATTGAATTAACGGGTGAAACATTAAAAGTTAAGCAAATTACTGACCTCTCTCGATCTGCAGGGAGAGAAGACCTGTGTGGAGAAGCATGGACACCAGGAGGTGGGTACTGGAAGTAACTTCCAGGAGGGATTCTCTCTCCCATAACGCAGGCACTACTGTATATGTCAAATAACCCAGAAAACAAATTAACAAACCCACTTCAGAGAACGCACAAAAAGTGGCATATCATTATGTAAATGTCAAATGAGCAAAACCCAGTTGAAGAAAACACCGATGAAGCATTATCTTCACAATAAAATTGATCCCACTTTGAAGAAAACACACAGCAAACAATAGAACAACACACAGCACAGCAAGTAAACAACAACAATATGTATTTAGAGAGAGAGAGGAGAGAGAGGGGAGAGAGAGGGGCTTACCGGACGGGAAGGAGAGAAGAGGGAGGTCGGGGCAGAGAGATTCAAATCTTTTCTGCCCCTTATTGGAGGCGGGTGTTGGTGCGAGAGAGTGAACAAAGAGGCAAAATTCCTACTACAGCATGAGTCTCAAACCATCCCTCCCTTGCATTTATATATTTTAAGTCAAATCACTCTTTTTTATTTTTCCTTTTATTTTCTTTTCCTGCCTGGTAAAGTGCCACTCACCAGTCAATGCTCTATTATTTTTTGTTGTCACTTCAAGGTGACTTGCTACCGCCGCTCGTAATCAAATTTTCTGCATTTATCATTTGACATATGTTAAATTTATGACAATAAAATTATAAAAAATTAAATTTATAAATACGTATCAGTTAATGATGAGGTCGAGAGGCTACACTCATTTAAATGCATAAAATTTGATCTCATAACTCATGGTGGGGCATTGACACTAACCTGATTTAGGACATATTTAGAAAAAAATCCAAATAATAAATTATAATTTAATTAGTGACTTAAAGTCTTCCAATTCAAAATAAATAAATTAAGTGAATTTGAACTGATCCTTTGTAAAAGATTGGCCTCTTCCTTTTGATGCATTAGTTGTAGATGATTGACCCTTACAAGTGAATTTGAATTGGGTAGTCGTGAAAGTAGTGATTGACGTTGTTGAATTTATGTGATGGAGGCAGCGGAGAAGGTACTATTTCATCTTGAGTTAAATTCTTCTCACATTTTAAAATTAAGCGGCCCAACCTACAACAATAAACACAAATTATTGCTAATTAGTTTATTATTGTTATATATAAGATTCAATGTATTGAACACTAAAAAATAAAAATATAAAACTAAATACTTCACTTACTGAGTCTTCAAGTTCATCCTAGAATATGAGGTCGTCAATTGTAGATTATAGAAATAAAATTCATTCCTCCTAAACTAATCACTAGTACACAGTAGAACATCAATCATTGTAGTTGAGGCCAAGAGAGAGTTGATTTTAATTCAACGGTTGAGATTAAATCTCAACCAATCCGAAAGCCATATAAATTATAATCTTATTTTGTTCAATTTTTTTTTTTCTAATCTTATATATTATATATTTAATTTGGTTTAGTTTGGTCGTTATTGTGACATCTTGGCTCAGGCCTCCACCACAACCCAGGCTTGACTCCACCGTAGCATGATATTGTCCGCTTTGGGCCCCTACCACACCCTCACGGTTTTGTTTATGGGAACTCACACGAGAACTTCTCAGTGGGTCACCCATCCTGGGATTGCTCCTGCCCGAACTCGCTTAATTTCGGAGTTCCGATAGAACCCGAAGCAGTGAATTCCCAAAAGATCTCATGCTAGGTAGAGATGGGAATATATATATATATATATATATATATATATATAAGGCTTACATGATCTACTTCCCTGGACAATGTGGGATGTAACAATCCACCCCCTAGGGGCCCGATACAGGTGTCGTCCCAGCACGGCTCGATTCGGGGTCCTAGTGGACATTTTGGGTCGGGGTGTGTCAGTTATATTGACACCTATACCGAATTTTTCCGTATTTTTAGTTTGATATCTATATAGAGCGGGTCAATTTTGGTTTTTTCGGTTGTTTATTCCACCCTATCAATAAAAGATGAGAATGAATGTCTCACTTGCTCAACTTATCATTTATACAATTAATCACTTTGATGTTTTATTTAGTTATAGCTTCACGCTATAATGTTTGATAAATAGACCTCTAAGTATTTAATAATTTCTCTCTAATTTCCCTAATATTTGATTTCTCTTCAAATTTTCCAAATCTATTGCATATTTATATCATTTTTAACACATTATTGTTACAAAACAATAGAAAGTGTGTTCCCAAACTTAGAGCTCATTTATAACTGTTTTTAGAAATAACCAAAACGCTTATGTTCAAAATGTTTTTAAAATGAATCATTAGTAAAAATTAAAGTGGATCTTAGAAATGCACTTTACTTGCTTTCTACAAAAAGCATATGTCTGATGCTTCTTCCAAAATAGATCATGAAAAAACACTTAAAGTACAGTTAGAACTTAAAATCAATTTCAACGTTTTCAGTCATTTTAATAACACTCTTAAACGAGTTATAGGATATTAGACTTGAATTCGAATTCATAATTTGATGAGTACATACATTTTTTTTATTTTTTATTAAATGACAAATTATGTTAAATTAGCCACCAATAAATTCAAATCCACACCATCATGACATCAAATATCTTTCCACCACCATCATGACATCAAATCGCCACTTGCTAACGAGATTACATGCATTGATTTCAGGCTATTTCAATACTTTATTACTTCGATATGTCACGTGCCAAACACACCCACGTATGCATACGTATATCACTTCTTCGTACTCAAAACCCAGAGAGAGAATTACAGAGGAGGGGGAGAAGACCTGAAGGCGCAAAACGCAACCGTTTCAACTCGCTCTTGCGTCTGTAGCATTTTCGTGCATGGCGATTGGTGAATTAGGGGTTTCAAATCGACCTCGATCGATGATTTTCAGAAGCCAAGAAGATGTAATTTAGCGGAGATTTTTCGTGTATTTCCGAAGCAATTTGCGAAAACCGTTCGATTCTGCGAAGCTTTAAGTTGGTTTTTCTAGGGTTTTTGTTTTTGGATTGGGGAGATGATGAAGGGCCAGTTGGATCGAACCAAGGTGGTGGTTCGACACTTGCCGCCTTCGATTTCGCAAGCTGCGCTTGTGGAACAAATCGACGTTTTCTTTGCTGGCCGCTACAACTGGGTTGCTTTTCGTCCTGGCAAGAGGAGGTGGGTTTTCTGGCAAATTTGTTAGTTGGTTCTACTTGAAATACAACTTCTTTCGCTGTCTTATGTGCCATTTTGGCTTTGTTTTCATAATTTTGTTGATGGGTTAGCATAAATTTTGTGTAGAAATCAAAAGGGGATACGTATTTGTTTGTGGGTTTATTTTAGTTCATACTATCAACTCATGGTTTGTTAGTACCTTAGGTTCATGCTGCTTGGAATGTTGACTTTGTATCGGATGGGAGTGTTGAGTGGATTCTTCTGATCTGTTGAAACCTTTTCACATTTCAATTTGCACGGTTGAGATTGTATACTTCTTCATAGCTACTGTGTTTTGGCACCTCCAAGTTATTGCATTTATTTTTTATTTTTAGGGGCTATTTCGAATTATGGTCCTCACTTTGTCTATGGTGCCTATAGAATCGTTTACTCTGTCGGTTGCTTGTTTTCTGCGGCATTAGTATTTTTATTATTTTGATAAATAGCTTTTGAAGCGCGTCTTATGGGCTCCTTGTTCTAATAAAGAAACTTTTTATCATGGCTTAAATTGTAATCATAATAGCATAATGACTAGTCATATTTGAGCATCAAGTGTTTGAAACTTTGAAGTAACATTCGGCAGGATGGAAGATTAGCTAATTTTCTTTTTCTTGAATTAATTTTTCAGCCAAAAGAATCAGTCATATTCTAGAGCCTACATTGATTTGAAGAGGCCAGATGATGTATTCGACTTTGCTGAGTTCTTTGACGGTCATCTGTTTGTTAATGAAAAGGGTACTGTTTGAGCTTGTTTTGCGGATTTATCATACACATCAACTTTCTTGTTAGAAGTCTTATTGAAATATATCTATTCAGCTTATATGCATATTTGTTTTGGTTAATGATATTTTATTCTTTCTTTTGCTAAGGCGCTCTCCTAACTCATGGTGGTAATGAAGTTTTTTCATGTGCTTTACTTGCAGCTAAAAAAATATATAAACTGCTGATTTTTTATTTTTTATTTTTATTATTTTTAAAAGATTTAACATGTTGTTCTCATATATATGTATTTGTTTGATTTCTATTTGTCTCAGGAACCTTCCACAGTTTTTATTTGAGATAATGAAATTTAAAAGTATTTATTTTCCATTTTCAGGCAGTCAATTTAAAGTTATTGTTGAGTATGCTCCTTCACAACGTGTTCCAAAACATTGGTCTAAGAAGGATGGTCGTGAAGGAACCATATTCAGAGGTAATAATTTAATGTGTAACATTCATTTAAAGAAAAATTCGACAGCTTGTTTTGTTGCGTGTGGACTTATATATACAATTATTTTCCTGTTAGTAAGTACAAGTATTTACTTGATGAACATCTAGATCCCGAGTATTTGGAGTTTCTTGAATTCATTGCAAAGCCTGCTGAGAATCTTCCAAGTGCAGAGACACAATTGGAGAGAAGAGAAGCAGAACGATCTGGTTAGTCAGACAGATCACCTAATATAATAACAAAGAAAATTTATATTTAGTATTGAATTCTCTTTTAGTGCATTCTTTCAAATGATTCATTTTTCTTGTCTAACTTTTCTTTTTAAAGGTGCTGGAAAGGACGTTCCAATAGTTACACCATTAATGGACTTTGTTCGTCAAAAAAGGGCTGCCAAGGCTGGATCTCGGGTATTTAATGGCTTATATTACTGATAACTAGGAGACGATTGATTAGTGGAATTCATACTTTCAATATGATTTTCAATTATTGCATTTTAGTGCTGTTAGGAGATGTTAAAATTGAATTTTAGATAAGCATTGATGAGTTTCTAAGCATACTTCATCTTTGCTGACAGAGGTTACCGTCTAATGGTAAAACAAGTAGAAGAGCTGGTGCATCATCTGCTCGAAGTCCTACTTTACCTATGACCAAACGGGGTTCTGAGAGGAAAAAGAATTCTGCCTCAATGGTACTCATTTTTTTATGCATATATGTAGCCGAAAGCCAGTTTATCAAATCACCTTTTTCTGTTATTTTTTTTAGCTGAATAAGTGTTTTCGTGATAAATCTCACTCTACCCTTCCATTGATCAGAATTGAGAACTAATTGATCTAGAACACCCAGTGATTCACAACCTCCACCATCTTTGGAATCCTTTCCGTTCCCTCGCATCATCTTCGAAATCCTAGTTATTATGGTCATAAGTTTCAAATTATAGATCATCTTTCATCTCATTGGTTGTTTGAAACTCTGACTACATGTTCAAATATGACAAAGGCTGGTAGATATTTATGTTTAAAACTGGTTCATTAGGAGTTTGAAATTTGCATTGGCCAGACTTCTCCTCATAATCAAATTGAGGGGTTGATAATTTCAACTTTTAACCGTTGGAGTTCCTCAGAGATGAAACAAATACATTCCGCAATGGTAACCCCCCTTTTTGTTTATGTTCTTTCAAAGCTATAATAATATGAATTTAGTACTTCTAATACTTATATTATATGCACTTTTTGTAGTCATTATATTTGATCAATGTTACTGTTATCATATGTCATTGTTCAAAAAGTAGAAGAGATGAAACTTAGAAGGCTAGTTGTTTTTTCTACTTTTGTGTATGGGTTGTATATCCAAAATTTGAATAATTTTTGTAGGTTTTCTGCATTACTTTTGGGACTAAAAGGTATCGTACTAATGTAGAATCCTTGGCTTATCCTCTTCTTGCTGGAACTTTTTCATCTTATTCACAGGGTTTTGCATTATTCTGTTTTCTTGTAGGTGGCTGGCTTTTGAGGCCTATGACATTTTCTTAGTTTTTCATTTTTGGCAGTTCCTAGTTCCATGTTCGTCTCGGAAATTTATAATTGATTGCAAGTCAAATTTTATGTTTAAGGTTATTTAGAGGGCCTGTCTGATTTGCAGTATGTTGTGAGGGATGCTAGAAAGAACACCAGTGCCAAAGACAAGTCAACATATACATTGGTACCCAAGCGCGATGATCAGCAACCTTCCGAGAAGTCTGCCATTTTGGCATCTGCAGTTGGAACTCAATTGTTTGAAGAGGAGAGTGGTATGTTATTTGATTGTTTGAGAGTATTTGCTGATGACTAGGCATTTTTTGCCCTAGTACCCTCACTCACATGCAATGGTTCAATGGTTTTCCTTGTCTATGAAGTGGAAGTTATCACTTTTGATGTCTCTTTTAAACTTACTTTGATGTCAAGGTTCTTTTCCCTTTCATTCGTCTGGCGCTTGTGATTATGTTGCAAGTACTATAGTTTTCCCTTCAGTCATTTTCTTTTAGGAATGGTGGACTTTGTGCATTTTATCATATACAGAATTTAAGGTTTTAAGTTTTGTAGAGTTTTGAACTTTGTTCTTAGTTTGGTTATAATCTTTATTTAGTTGCAGAGAATACTTTGAGCATTTCATAGCTAAGAAATATTTTTGGTAGCTTTCATTGTTTCAATTAATTTTCAAGTTGGTTGGTTGATATAGTTTTAAGTTTTAATTGGAGAAAATCAGAAGTTTTGCATTTACAAGCTTCTTCCTTGCATCCCCTTACATTTGATTTGTAGGTTTTTTTCCTCCCTCTTTATAGTTCCCTTTTTGAGTATTATCTTTTATTGTAGGGTCTCTCCCCCCCCCTCCTTTCTTCCTGAATTCTGGTATTGCGCCTTTTTTTTTCCTATCTGACAGTGAGTTGCTTTCCATTTTTGATCTATAAGTTCTTACCCCTATTTCAGGAGTTTTGGGTGCTGATGCTGGGAAAAAGAAAGTCTTGCTTGTGAAAGAGAAAGAGAAGGAGATATCTCATGTAAACCTCCTCCTTGCTTGATCTCATTTATTGGTTATCTTTTGGTCTACAATGGTGGGGTGAGAGGGCGTTTTATGTTTTCTGATGTAGTTCTGTCAATATGCCAAATGATGTCAGTTAACTAGTTAACTTGTTCTACTTTTTGCACAGCATGATATAATTTAACACTAGATTGAGTTGTGACAGGAAATATTGACTATAGGTGCAGACGGTAGTGATAACGACATGCATGTTATAGTATGCATGGATTGCAGTTTCAGCATGATATAATTTAATATCAAATTATATTGTTTATTGTGTGCATGTTTCTGTTGAAAATCTAGGTGCGACTATGTACTTAATTTGCATAATTTAAGCATATGTTATATAAAAATAAACTTTTAGCTTCTGAAAAAAAATGGTCATCAAATAAGTTGCAAAGTGGCAACATTTTGTTTGCGTATTTAGACTGGCTGAGGGCTTTGACACTGAGAAATGTGATCTCCTTTTACTTCTGTTCATGTCTATCACTCCTTGTGCAGGTGCCGGCGAACATGTCACTGCAGCATAGTACATATTCTAAAAACATGGGTGGTTCAGTTGCACTGAAACAGAACCCGCGTCATCATGATAAGGGAAGGATTATCAAAAGTATACTTCTAAACAAGGATGCACGTCAAAGTCAGTCTTCTGGGATTCACTTGGAGCAGCAAATCCAGAGTTCAAGTTCAGATAGGGACAAACGACTTCCTCGGTCGCAACATGTGCAATTGATTTTAAAGGATACAAATGGAGCTCCAGATCATAAGATAGTTGGGAATGACTTGCATGGTAGTTATAGTGAGAAGCAGGAGAAACGGACGAGGAATAAGGACAGACCTGATCGTGGTGTATGGACTCCTCTTAATCGTTTAGATGGATCATCTGCAAGCGATGAGTCTTTGTCGTCTGCTTTTCAACCTGATCACTCACTCTTAGATTCTTCAGAAGGTGCGACTACTGTTCAAAGGAAACTTTGTTTTAGGGTTACATTGCTACGTACTCTAATCAATGTTTATATTTCTTTCCATGAATAAGTGAAAATATATGGACATAGGTAAGAAAATATTATTGTTGAAACCTTGAAGAGCTTATCAGGCATTATTTTGCATGAATAAAAAAAAATCCTGTGTAGAGTTCTTATATCAAATACTGAGTGGAAGTTAAAACCCAGGTATTAGATATCTGTGTAGGTTCCAAAAACACAATTATGGACGAAAATTTTAATGTCTCTATATTGGTAAAAGTAAGAGAAACATTTTTTGTGAAACTTCAGATGCTGTTTATTTGATCAATAATTTACTATTTTGACTATAAAAAAACTAGTTAAATGTAGGTCCATAGGAGCTCCCTTCTTTCTACATATAGTGCAGCTTACATGCTTACTCTTAAATTGTTGTAGTGACTAGTGGCTGATTGAAATATGTCAAATTTCCACTTGTAATTTTGGTAGAACTATTGAAATTTTGAACAAACACGGGAAATGGCAGTTTAATGCCATTACTATTCCAGGACCTAAAAAATATATATTTTGGCAAAAATACTGATGTTTCTGTATGACTAGCAAATGTTTTGCACATTAAAGCACCTATGCATCTGCACGATCTATCTTTGGCCTGGCAGGAGCTTGGTGCATTTTTCTTGATGCGGTAATAACAAATACTAATACTTTATGCAGGCTCCCATAAACATCATGGTCGCCGTGGAGCAACACATGGTGTTAAGGATCTTGATGGCTCTCCAGTTGCAGGTGAAGGAAAACATTCGAAGAGAGGCTATGGCTCCCATGAGGTGCTTGTTTTTTCAGCATACCACTTAACTTGTGTTCAATATCTTGTCTTTTATTCATTCTGTAATAGGCTGTTACACATTTACTTTAATGTGTCTGCAGAAACAAGTGTGGGTTCAGAAGTCAAGTTCTGGTTCCTGAGGATTTTCTTTTTGTTAAATTGGTAAACACAATCTTATATCCATCATCATATGAATTATCCTGATGATCATCTGAATTACCCTGCCTTCATTCTTTTCTACACAATGGATAATTGATAGTTAGTAAAAAGTCGATACAAGTTGATTGAAAAAGAGTGATACCTTTTACTGATAAGAGAGAAACTAAGCATAGGTGGTAGGAACATATGCATTATAGACCTCTAAAAGGGGGACCACTCAAAGTAGACAGATCAAAACTAACATGTGATTCATTTGCAATATGGGATGGCTCTTTTATGTATTTAATTAATTAGGTTTTGATCCGAGTCTTCTAATTGTTTAGTGACCAGTAAGAAGGGAATTAACTGTCTAATGATCTATTTTTTGAAAAATCAATTTTTTATGTGTAATAATCACTCTTTCGCACACCAATAGTACGGGCCATCAATTGTGGTAATCATTGGAGCTGGAGGACAGCTCAACTTAAATGAGGTCATTTGTCATCTTGTATGAATTGTGGTAGCCTAATGCATCATATGAAGTTTATTGTCCTGTTCTATATGGCTTTCATTTGAGATTCCAAGAGTCTCTCTCGTTTGTGATGGTATGTTGTGACAATCACTATTCCCAGCACTGCCGAAGATGCTATCTTTTTATTGTCTTCTTTAACTGCTAGCCGTGCTATCATTATCTAGAACTACTGTGTGCACAACTGCATTAATTTGTTATTTAAGTTAGCGTTTCTTGTTGAAGCTTCATGCCTATCTGCACTTCTCCCTCCTGCAGATATTGTGTTACATGTATGATAGGTAGTTAAGAATTCCGTGTATGCATGATTAGTATATATTGCAAGAAATTGAGAAAAGAAGGAAACAACTCTTCTTATAAGAGGTTTAAATCGGGATTTGTCTTTTTATAAACGACTTAAAATTGGTTTCTGTTGATGACTTTGCAGTGCGATGTTTTGGCTACTTCAACCTTGAGAGTGAATTACCAAAAAGAAAAAAAAGAACCTTCAGAGTGAGCATGTACCAGTGCCCTGAAGCTGTCTGATTTTTTCCGGACAGATTACAGAGTTGTAAACAAAGCGTCAGCAGCATTGAAAGATGTTCCTTTCGGAAAGCCATACGGAGTGATGGAGACACGTGTATATAAGGATAGCATGGGTTTGAAGAAATTTCCAACTTTGCTGGTGACAGCACGGAAATAGGAGGGGAAACGAAGAATAGTAAAAGACATCAGCATCATTAAGGTATATAACAGTTTTTATCAGAGTGCCCCCCAACAATGGTCTCCTTGCAGAAGAGTTATGCACATTCCTTCTCGCCTTTCACTGGATATCGGAATATTTAGGTATTTATGTTATAGATGGTTGTCGTCCATTAGTATAACTGTAAATATGAAGGCTGTGCACTGTATGCGGCTTCACGGTTTATTTCTTATGTGTCTATGCCCCCTGTTGCGAGCAGTGTAGCATCTGCAACCAGTTAGTATTGTAAGGCCCTGGAGTTTTCTCTGATACTCTGATTGGGGGCTTGTTTCGAATAGAAAAGACAGCTCGAGCCATTTTGCAGTTGATGGCCGGGCGAGTGACTGATTGATTCGGTCTATGTCTTGGCAGTGTTTCACCTTGTATTAACGGAGGAGACATTGTTCTGAGTGGAGATTGCTGGAATATAGTTTGTTAGTTTGTTCTCTCTCTCTCTCTCTTTCTCTGAAAAAAAAAAGGCTTCCACCGGACAGTTCTTGCCAAGGCAAGTGGGGGGCCACGTGAAGCCCGACCGTCAGTCCGAGGAGCCTTTAGGGCATGTCATGACACAGTTGGAAAGCAACGTTGATGATTGGAATTGTATATTTCGAATTCTCTATGTGCATGTTATAGCCTTAGGTTTTTCGAGCTAGCGGAACTGTATAGGAAGCACAAAAGAGGAACATTAAGGCTCATTTGGCGTGAGCATTTATATGATGAACTGCTTAAAGTTTTACCAATTGGACCATTTGTTTTCTGCTATAGTAAGACGGCTAAAGTAAGATGAGAGCAAAACGGTTAAGGTGGTTTGAACACGTGAACTAAAAAATATAAGATGTTCTGGTTAGAAGAGTGACTATGAGACGGAGGCTTAGGACAAAAAGGGTAGACGAAGTCCTAAGAAGACTTAGAAAGTGATTATAAGAGAAGATAGGGTACTTGGAGTTAACGGAACACTTAGTGCAAGATCGAGCGCATTGGTGTTTTAGGATTCATACAGGCGATCCCAATTAATGATACGAGGCTTGGTTATTGTTGTTGGTAAAACTTTGAAATATCAATCTTAAGTAGGACTGGGACAAACTAGTTACTGTCGGAAGGAAGTGATTTTCGCACCTTTTCAGTGCACAAGGAGAAAGGAATCACATGTGGTTATGTCTCACGTTGGGAAGGATAAAAATGAGAGATTTGTAAGCCCTTAGTTTTGAGCAACATAATCAAATGAATAGAATTTTGAAAAAAGTTAATGACAGAGACCAATAATGCACATTGTGTTAAATTCATAAAACTCAATTAACAAATTTTTCAATTCATATTTTTCTTTTAAGGAACGGTAACATTAGCGGATTAAAATATTAGCTAGTAGGGGAAGAAGGATCAGAGAGAATCGAACTCACACCAGAGTGCATAGGTATGATTGTTTTCCGAATTGCGATAAAGCGCCATTTGCAAACAATTATAACACATAAACAAGAGCAAAAAATCAGGAACCAATTCTAAGTTTTACTCTCACAAAGGAAAGGAAAGTAAAGAAATGGAATGCTTGCTCACCATCTTTGAGCGGTGATAATGTTCATCACTTCATTGATTATCGTTAGATGAATTCGATTTAGCCTATTTATTATACAAATATTGAAATTTAAACTGCAATCTAATAGGGTGGCGAGCAAAAATATTACTTTCTAAAATGGAGTTAAGAGTTTTGCTGATGGATAAACCCATAAATAAAACAAGGGATGGAGATTGGAAGTGGAAGTAGGGCTGAGAAATTGATGACGTGGCTAGCTACAAAACACCAAGTCCTACTCTCTCTTCTTTACCAACCAAGCAAACTTTTAGTTGGAACTGAAAACTGAGATTGCATGAGGAACTCCCAAAGCTCGAAAATATTTTGACAATGGCATTGGCAGCATTTCCAAATACTACTCTTCAGTTTTTCCAACCTCACCTCTCTCCTTCCACCTTGCAATCCTCAACGGTCAGAAATCATCCTGTTGTTTTGGCGCGAAGTTCCGTCGGACAGGCCCCCTCTTCTTCCACTGGCGCTGGCGCTGCCTCTCTCCAAGACAACAAATCTTTCTCAGGTAACTCTCTCTCTCTCTCTCTCTCTCTCTCTCTCTCTCTCTCTCTGGGATAAGTAACATACATTATCTCATCTTTAGAAAACTACTGAATCCCCACTGACCTCCTCCCCTAACGGCTAACAGTTTAACCCTTTAACGCTATCGTTTGTCCAAAAAAAAAAGAAAATAACTACTGAACCTGTTGTGCAGGGAAGGCAGAAGCTGATGTTGTAGTCATTGGAAGTGGGATCGGGGGATTGTGTTGCGCGGGGCTTTTGGCTAGGTACCAGCAAGATGTTCTTGTCTTAGAGAGTCATGATCTGCCTGGGGGTGCTGCTCATTCATTCGAGATTAAAGGCTTTCAGTTTGACTCCGGCCCCTCTCTATTCTCCGGATTTCAGTCCAAAGGCCCTCAGGCTAATCCTCTTGGACAGGTCAGTTGTTCCTCCTACTCATTTTCCTTTGCTTTCTCTTTTCTTGTCACTGCTCGTTATGATAAGGAGGACTTGTTCGTATTCCGTATTTCAGGTTCTTGATGCATTGGGGGAGGCAATTCCTTGTGCCAGTTATGATTCATGGATGGTCTACTTACCTGAAGCTGAATTTCTATCACGCATTGGTCCCACGGAGTTTTACAAGGTTGAATCTTGTTGTGAATTGTACATGTTTCATTACTTTAACCTTAATTTGGCCTGTCTTTTGCTGGCTTATTATTGCTTACTTATCTCTCGGGAATTCTCCGGTGAGGATGCAAGTTTCTCCTGAAACAATGAGCAGTTCGTAGCTAATCATTAATCAATAAACTTGCATGTCGGTATATTTTTCTTCGCATCCCCTTTGTTGCATCTATCTAGCCTCTTTTTAATCGTTATTTTGTCCCATCGATAATTCGCTGAGAATTTTACAGTCAAATTCACTATGTTTGGTTTTTTTCCCTCCTTCCAGGACCTCGAGAAGTATGCAAGTCCAAATGCTGTTCGAGAGTGGAAAAAACTTCTTGTGAGTACCATCAGCATATATCTTGATTTTCTGCAGTTCTCTTTTGGGTTACCTCTCATATGAAAAGTGAAACTCTTCTACAGGATGCCATTCTCCCGTTGTCTGCAGCTGCAATGGCTCTGCCTCCGCTTTCCATCCGAGGGGATTTAGGTGTTCTTTCCACTGCTGGAGCTAGATATGCTCCCTCTCTCTTGAAATCTTTTGTTGAAATGGGACCGCAGGGAGCACTTGGCGCCACAAAGCTTCTCAGACCATTCTCAGAAATCGTTGACTCGTTGGAACTGAAAGATCCCTTTATACGTAACTGGGTGGACCTACTGGCTTTCTTGCTTGCTGGGGTGAAATCTAATGGTATACTTTCAGCAGAGATGGTAACTAATATGCATTAAGTCCTACATAAATTCTTTGTGTTTGTTATAAGTGCATATATATGCTGTGCTCGAAGCTTGTCTAGCGGTCTGTACTTGTTTTCCAACTTGTTACATGCAATAAAATTAATCTGTGCGGCTAATGATGTTTTCGACTCTTCAAACTACTTCTTACTTCTATGATTTCCAATTTTAAACATAATTTATAAGACGTTGTCATGTCACTGGAGCATTGAATAACACTTTTGTCCTCCGATTTTTCAGATTTACATGTTTGCAGAATGGTATAAGCCAGGTAGCTGTCTTGAGTACCCTCTGCACGGAAGTGGTGCAGTTGTTGATGCTCTTGTCCGGGGAATGAAGAAATTTGGTGGGCGTATTTCTCTAGGAAGTCACGTAGAAAAGATTGTTGTCGAAAATGGTCGAGCAGCAGGAGTCAAGCTAAGAAGCGGTCAAGTGAGTAAATTATGCGTGACAAAATAAACTTTTGAAGTCTTCGAAGTGAATTATATGTTGTTTATGTGTTAACATTCGAACAAACGTTTACGCTGCAGTTTATACGTGCAAAAAAAGCAGTTGTTAGCAATGCATCTATGTGGGACACTCTAAATCTATTACCTAAGGAAGTTGTTCCAAAGTCATTTCTCGACAGGACTAAGACGACCCCCCAATGTGAATCGTTCATGCATCTTCATTTGGGATTCGATGCAAAGGTGAGTGATCCGATCGAGAAGTGACATAAGTAGTAACATGATCCCGACTCTCTCTCTCTCTCAAGGATCACCCTGCACATATCATAGCTATAATGATCTGAAATAACTTACGAAACTATTGCCTGCAAAGCTCCTGGTGTTGTACAAACCTTGTAATTCATTTCATAAATCTTAGGTTGTTTAATATGTGTTCAAAATCCTGCTCATCATCCAGGACATACGCGAGGACTTGGGGATTCATCACATAGTTGTTAATGACTGGGATAGAGGAGTAGATGCCGATCAGAACGTTGTTTTGATATCTATACCTAGCGTACTAAGTCCGGATCTTGCACCACCTGGGAAACATGTGTTGCATGCTTATCTTCCTGGAACCGAACCCTTTGATTTGTGGAAAGGATTGGACCGTAAAAGCTCTGCATATAAAGAGCTCAAAGCTGAAAGATCTGAGGTACGTGCATATGCTTTCTTATCATTCGATGTATTTATTCTGCAGCTGTTAAAATTACTAAAACAAGTACAATCCAGTTGCGAACTTACAGCCACATTCTCATTCGTCGAATTCAAAGAAGACAGAACAAGAGAATATATAGTGCAGCCCTACAAAAACCGAAAAAACCAAACATAGTCCCAATGCGAGCATATAAACTCAACCGAGTTATATATACAGCAACTTCCGAAAAAACATGTTGATAGTGTATAATTAATAGATCAAATTCGATTTCCGCTATGGTTTCTCAAAACTTCATTGATGTGCTGAGACTAGTGAAACGTTACATGAGTAACATGTCATAATCTGAATTACAAGAAAGTGAAGAAACACGAGGACATGTTCCTCGGTTCCTTCCAAACATGTGTCAAACTGCATTGCTTATGATTAATCACTTGCAATCCAGGTTATGTGGAGAGCCGTGGAGCGCGCAGTTGGTCCCGGATTTAGCCGTGAGAAATGCGAGGTGAAGTTAGTCGGATCTCCATTGACGCACCAGAGGTTTCTTCGAAGGAACCGAGGAACGTATGGTCCAGCAATACAAGCCGGTAAAGGGTCCTTCCCGGGGCATTCAACTTCCATCCCTCAGCTTTATTGTTGTGGTGACTCTACATTTCCCGGCATCGGAGTCCCTGCAGTTGCTGCCAGTGGTGCCATTGTAGCCAACTCACTAGTTTCTGTGTCTCAACACTCTCAACTTCTTGATGCCATTGGAATTTGAATTTTCTTATCAACTTTTTTGTAACATTTCTCAGAGTTTATTTGTCTTTTACACACTTTTGGTTTGTATTATTTCTTCCTCTGAGACTTGTGTTATACTGCTACATATTATGAATGGATGATACAATATTATGTATCTACTATTGTATTCAAAGACGAAAAATGTGGCATCGTATATGTAACTAAAGGGTTCATCTAATAAGCATAAATTGACGGAACCTAACTGATCAATAATAATTTAATTTGGATCGATTTCAATAATGGAATAAGTCAAAACCGAATCAAACTGAACTGTTGAATACTAATTGATTCAATTATATTTTTGGTGTTAAACCGAACAAACTGATCCGCGCCAACCCTAACAAAAACTGTGAGTATGTTGCCATCCAAGATTTTTAATTGCTTTGGATGAAGATAGGGAATGCAAAGAGATAATGCATGCAAGAATGATTATTAAGTTCCAAAAAAGTCAACATAATGGAAGGTAGAGGTCGGCCCCAATGATGCAGATGTTGTCCCCACATTACATGCATTTTGATCGAGTGGTCCACTTCCATGATATATCAAAGCTCCATGCATATGCTTTTCTTTTTTCGTATGTCAAGAGAAAATGAGTGGAGGAACTTATAGTGGTTAAGGCTTCCACAACTCACAGGTAAAACCTAACCACTAGTATATCTGGTAAAGAACTTATTCAGTTGGAATTACAATGCAATATGATTTTTTTGTTAATTTAGTTCTCTCAATTACATGATTAGATCACATAAGGATTGAGCAATAGTTCTGAAGCAATGTAAATTCTCAAGTTCATATGATTCACATAGATATGATTGAATTTGTTGCTCAATCGTAATCAAACACTTTGGAGAATTCTTAATTATATATCTCGTAGCAAGTCTCCCTCGTTATTGAAGATTTGAAGATAGACATTGAGGTACATGCTTGATCTAACATGTCTATGTAACATTATTAAAGATAAAGAAAACGTATTCATACGACAACTATGGTACTTCAGGTTTAATGACTAATTTGTTTATTGCAACTAAAAGATATCTTGTTTGACATGTAAGTAAAACTTTCTTGACAAGTTTTTCTTATTGACTGTGTTTAGTGTGCGCAATCCTATTAAGCACATACTTATCTTAGTATTTTAACACGAATGACCCGAGACTAGTCATTCTCATAGGTGAATTAAGTACTAAACAGTGCGTACTAGTCTTTAAGAATTGATATTAATCCTATAATACGGAATTATTTACGATACATCGTTAAGATTGAAAAGTCTCATTAATCTAACTTCTGTATATTGCTTCATTTCATTTCATGATCTTTAAACTTTTTTTTTTTTTTTTTTGAAAAGATGATAGCTTAGTGGTTAGATGTTAGATTAGAGAGTTAACTATGTTCAAACCCACGCTGAGATGCTACGGCATAACTTATTTCCGCCACTGTGGTAAAGGGCTACTTGCATGATCCCTAGACTTTGTTGTATAAGATAATAACAATATATTCTATTTTAAGTTTTTTAATACAACTATCTATTTACACTAAGACCGAAGGGAATAAATTAATATCAAACTCGTCATTTATAATATATGAACCTAGAATTTGATGAAGATAAATATTAATGAACTATAGTACTAAGTGACTATAATAATTAAATACATAAAACAACATATTTGACCTTTTGATTAATACCTCAAAAAATAAAGTAACAAGATAAACTATCCATAAAGGATACTTCAAATTATTGGCTTTTAGAGCATGCTTTCTACCTTGTTGTCTTGTGGGCCTCTTTTATTGGGATTTATCCTAATTCTTTGGACATTTAGTTCTTGAAAAGCTATTTTTGGCTCACTCAATTGGTCTTTATGTAATTTTAAGTTGTCAGAGATTCAAATTTGAGATTTTTTTCAACATTTGAATAAGTGCAGGACCTTCATGCTTGATGAATTATATCTTGGATGATCTTGTAAGTTGAAACTGTTGAGTAATCATGCTTGTATTGGCATGTATGGCCTCTTTTTTCTTCGCTGGTGTTTTTTTTTTTCTATGATTTTACTCGGATAAGATTTTATATTCATTTTAAAATATATATTAGACTAATTTAAACTTATAATACAAGGCTGGGTTGCTAATAAATTAAGCAAAACTGAATATCACTTTCTTCAAACTTGACTTGTTTAACTTTTTTCGAACTCAAGTTTGGCTTGATTTGCTTCTTAGATGAGCCTAACTCATGTGAAGTTTCTTTAGAAATAAAAGAAAACCTGGGGACTTCATATCAATCTTTGTCTTCAAAAAAAAAAAAAAAAAATCAAACTAACGGTGGTCAGTCTAAACTTAAAAAGAACTGTAAACACGATTCTTCAAAAGGGAAAGAGATCCTCTTCAGATCTCTCTTTCCAAAATTCAGGGATTAAGCGATTAAAATTTGATTTAACGGCTAAAAATTATTATAACTTTAAAAAGTTTTTACTAACTTCTCTGTTTTTAACCGTTGGATCAAATTTTAAAGATCCAGATCATTTGATATCTAAACTTTGGAGGAGAGATCCGAAGAGAATCTCTTCCTCTTCAAAAGAACCATGACCTTTGAGTTAAGCCTGACTTGTTTATTTCGCGAGCCCAATCCGATGCAAACTCAAACTTTTCGAGCTAACTTACAACAGGATTGAAACTAAAAGACAAGCAAAATTCTGATACAATGATAATAGCATATGGGCACACACAAAAAGTGTGTGAGAAAATTTTTTCTTTTTGTTTTTGAAATAGAAGGAGAGAGGAAGAGAGTGATAGAAGATGTGGGAGTGAGAATTTTTATTTTATTTTTTTTAATTAAAGATATGTTAGAATTACATGTAGGTGAGGTTTTGAAGGAAAAAAAAAACAAAATTTAGTTGTGTGAAATTACATTTCTGCTTCATATTTCTTATTCATATTCTGTTTTAATTAGAGAGTTAAACTGATAATTTCATAAGGTTTTGGTTGATACTTTTATTAATTAGTAGAAATAAGTACCACAAAGGATGGAGGAATTGGTTATAAACTCGCTATTTACGAGATTCAAACTTGAGAAGTGTCGTTTAGATTTTACAGTGTACTGGAAAAACACGGTCTAGTATACCAAGTATCATAATATAAGTGGTTAGATACTGAAAATAAAAAAAATTTCAACCACTTGTATTACAACACTTGGTGTACAAGGCCGTTTTCTAACGCACTGAAAAATTTCTACTCTTAATTATAACCAAAAATAAGTATTAATAGACTGTAATAGTAAGTGACAAAAAAGAACCAAAATTAAAAGTATAGAATCATATTATATTCCCATCCTTATGTTTTAGATAGAGTAATGAAAGCAAAATTCAACCTCCATTTGTCCTGAACCCCTTATTATTTTCTTGTATTTATACAAGAACCCAAAGCTGTCAACTGCTGCTAAGTACTCCTCACTCATTCACTGCTCAAATTAAATTTAAAAAAAAAAAATTAAATAAAACCTCAAAAAGTAGATTAAATTTTTTCGCAGCAGTAACAGTATCCGAGCACTCTCTCCGATCAAACTCTTCTCCTTCCCATAATTTTCTGCCCAAATCTCAAAAATTCCAGGAGTGGAGTTTAAAATGCGCGAGCTCTGCTTCCAGGCCTCCCCGAAACGCTTGCAGGTCAGTCGTTCGAACCGTTCCGTATCTCTGAATTTTGAATATAATTGCGTTTGAATTAATTCACCGAAAATTATTTGTTTTGTTGGAGTCTGATTGGTTTCGGAGGATCGGCGGTGGTCTTTGAATTCGTATTTTGTGCTTAATTTAGAAAGTTGGAGTGAGTTTGGCGTGGATCTGAACTAAATTAAGTTAATTAATTAATTAATTTTTAATTTGAATTTTTTTGACAATAATTTCAGCTCAATTTCTATGTTTTATGAATTTTAATTTTAATTAATTAAATTTTTGAGGAAAGAAATTTGAAAAAAGTTTGATTCTTTTGTTGTTAATAGAAGGATAGGTGCTTGGATGGGAGTGGACTCAGGAGCAGAGAGTGTTGCAAGGAGGGGAAGTAGTAGCATCGTCTGCTCTGCTGCAGTAGTGAGGTGATCAGACGTCGGTATGGCGTCTGCTGGCCTAGGGAATGGTGGAGTTGGCAGTTCAAGGTCTGTGAATGGCTTCAAGAGTTCGTCTAGTTCGGTTGATTGGCTGGGGAGGGAGATGCTCGAGATGAGGTTGCAGGACAAGCCAGATCATGATGACGAAAGAGTAAGCGGTGTTCGTTCTATACTGTTTAAATATATTGTGAAATTTTTGCATTAACTGTCATTTGTTGCAAGTATCGCTTAACAAAATGCCACAAGCAACTGATGAGCAAAATAGTTCTCAAGCATTTTGGTCTAGATTAGGCCCCCGCTCTAGTTGAATGCGACTTGTTTTGACTAGAATTTGGTGTTTTTATTACACTGGTGACAGTCCTTACAATTTCTTCTGTTGTAGGATAGTGAACCGGATGTAATTGATGGAGTGGGTGCTGAAACAGGGCACGTAATACGAACGACCGTTGGTGGTCGAAGTGGTCAATCTAGGCAGGTTGGACAAGATTCTATTGTTCTTCAAATTTAATCTAGTAATGGTATTGCAAGTCAGAAGCTTTGATTTCCTATAACTTGGTGACTTACATTTTGTTTCTTTGTTTGGTTTCTAACTTTCTACAGACAGTAAGCTATATTTCAGAACATGTGGTAGGAACTGGTTCTTTTGGGGTTGTTTTCCAGGTAGGTAGAACTATATATTTTGCTTAATTGAACCCACCTGATTTTCCAATGAATTACGTTGTTGATAAAATTTTAACTTCATTGCACAGGCGAAATGTAGAGAAACTGGAGAGATTGTTGCTATCAAGAAGGTGCTCCAAGACAAGCGCTACAAGAACAGGGAGTTACAGATTATGCAGATGTTGGATCATCCAAACATTGTTGCCCTAAAGCATTGCTTCTTCTCAACCACAGACAAAGAAGAGGTTTACTTGAACCTTGTACTTGAATTTGTTCCTGAAACGGTTAACCGCATGGCGCGGAACTATAGTAGAATCAACCAGCGGATGCCAATAACATATGTTAAACTTTATACCTATCAGGTATGAATA